ATTTGATATGAATTTCCGATCGGCAACAACACATCATGAGCTGTAAATGGATCATGATGACATAATTTTGACAACCAAATAACCTTTATCCATCTTTCCCTAACGTAATTGGCTAGGTAAAGATAAGATTAGGAAGACTTATGAGATTAATTAATACGTAATTAGGTGTCCTTTAGGGTGTTTATGGGCAAGTCAAAGTTGCCCACTAATTAACATATTCTAACCCAATATAGCTGATAATAGAACCTGGCCATTCTCACATGAGAATAGTGGGAAAAAGGGACAAAAATGAGGAATAAATTTCAATAGCCTTCAGAAAAATAGACCCTATTGTCAATTTCTGTAATATTGTATTTTCTAATTATATTTGAAGGAGACTAAGGTCAATTACTATCAACTTCATGAAAATTCCCTCTAAGAGATAAAGTTGAAAATTGATAATTGCTGTCTTCCACTAGAGAAATTGACGTGGGACTACTGCTGCTTTTTTTTTTTTTTTAAACTAATTTCACACCATTAGAAAAGTAACATATATGCATTTTTACTTCCCCAGTTGTAACCTTTGAAAATGCACAATCATTTTCTCTGAGTCACTGTAACAATGTAGCTAGACATGTTCGATACGCCACAGCTATATTGCTAATCACATTATGAGATATCAAGATTTTCTTGCCCCATTTTTTCAAATACAGTTGGCTCTTTCAAGAGTCAAGACAACGACGAATAGAAATTAACGTCAAAAAGTAACAAATTTTGTAGAATTAACATAAATTTTGAACTCAACCTTCAACCACACTCAACAAAGAATTTAATTGTTATATATTTATACAATAAATATAATATGTGAAAGAAATAATTAATTAAGTTGAAGTGTCCAACTGGTGAAAAGTGTGAAATTTGTGTGGGAGGTCAGGTGTTCGAGCCACGCTCACGCACTATATTAAAAAGTTTTTGATTGGGCTTTATTGATTCTAATAAAATAATAATAATAATTATTTTTTTTAATTATTTTCGAAATTATTTATTGGGTCAACTAACCAGTAGAATATGACAGTTTTAACTGCCCAATATTAATACTCATTACCATTGGCCATTACATCTGCAACTTAATACTAGATCATGGTGGAAGAAGTTACATCTCTTTCTGCCTATATAAACACACTTTTGGGTATTAGAAAATAACAAGAAAAACGAGATTATATATTTCTATACAGTACAAATATTGTTCTTAATTTTACAAATTTCTGGAGTACACTTGAGAGTTCTGAAAACCTTTTGTGATTGCTGCACAATTGGTTTATTTGATCGTTGTATCCTGGAGGTGATTGTCCACAGAGGTCGCAGCAATTATCGACGGGCAATTTCGCTTTAGGATATCGTGCTGTCACGAGACTCGATCTATTGATAAATTTTTCTGCACTTTACTGTTATTTTATCCAACATTAATAACAAACTATTCATAATGACTTAGACGACTATGTATGATGACATCAACATGAATATGTTGTGATAAAGTGAAGACTGAAGTTGGAAATTGTGGTCGCATAGATGACCCCACAACTAAATTGTGCCTCAAGAAAGCACTATTCTTTTCTACTATTAATGGTGATTCCCATTTATGACATGAATAATCTTATATATACAAAGTAATGATCATCTCTTGTGACAAGTGATCTAAAATAAAATGATAATCTCAATTAATTGTTACATCATACAGGGATCATTCCTATTTTGTACATATAGCATTACTCTTATGACATAATAGACTAATCATATTGCAATCTTATGTATTTATGCCACCTAAAAATAATCACGATGACTTATATTTAAGAGTAATACTATTCATTTAGACGAGCTGAGTTGCTTGCTCTCTTCATTGAAGTGTAGCTCAGCTCACCCCACAAACTCGTTCATTGGTGGGGTGGGATGAGTCAGCATGAAGTTCGCCCTTTATTTTCCTTTTTTATTTATTTAAAGAAATTACTTTTTCACTCACTTATGATGTGCCAATGAACTCGCAAGCCAGCCAGCGAGCAGCTCGAAAAATATGCCAGCGGCTCTCCTCGGGCACGAGTAGCTTATCCCACTTGATACCCCTAATTTGTATGACAATGAGGTCATTATCACCTATGTCAGTAGTAATCCAAACTCTAAATTAATGGCACTATCGTGTATGAAAAGTGTTATGTGACCGAGTGACTATAATTGTGAGAAAACAAACTCATAAATTATGCAAGATTTTTTTTTTTTAAGTCAGGACACGTTCACCTTCTTTCAGTTGTATTCCGTTTC